TTCCATTCTTAAACCTCTTGGAGTGTCCCTGGTTTTCAGAGTTCCCAAAGTCCTTCCTTTTCTCCCTAAGCTTAGCACTCTCCCCCACATCCCTAGAATTCAAATGGTACATGTGTGCAGCTCTCTCATACACCTTATCTATGGTCTTGAAGACTTTCCCAGCTAGGTCCTTTTGCAACTGCTTAGTCAAACCCTGCTCAAACCTTTGTGCCTTCAATTCCTCAGTTGGGACAACCTCAGGGGCAAACCTAGCAAGGGTCATAAACCTATTATAGTATTTCAAAATCGACATTCGACCCATCTCTAGGTTAATGAACTCCTGAGCCTTCTGTTTCTTCAAGAATGGGGGGTAAAACTTATCCCTCAATGCAGTTTTAAATACTTCCCACCCAAAGTTTTGTTTGGCCTTAATTATTTCAGCATTATCTCTCCACCATATATCGGCCTCATCCTTAAGGTACATAACACCTTGGTCAACTTTCATACCCTCAGGACAATTCAATGCCACAAATAACTTATCAAACTCTCGAACCCAGTTTTCCAGGAAAGTTGGATCAGCACCTCCCTTGAAAATTGGTGGCCTAACTTGAGCCAACTTCTTGAACATCTCAGCATGGGGATCAAGTTGATCAGGTCGATTCTGATTCAAATTCTCAGCCAACATGCGGATGGCCTCATCTAATGCAGCATTATTTGCCATTCTAGCTCTACGCCTGAAAGAAGGTAAACGTTTACTCTAGCTTAAACAGAATTCGAACATCGTACGCATATATTCATTCAATCACAATATTACATTTTATCACATAAATTGGTTCAAAAGGGTACTTTGGTCTTTGCACCCCTTCGTCCCAAGCAAAATCAAACAATAATAGAACAATCCACACACAGGATTAAGTAAAGTTAAGAAAAATAATTCCCATCCCGCGCCACTCTTACTCAACTTAACCATAAACAAGGAAATTTTCCTCAAAATTATATGTAATCACAAAACTTATATTGGTATTTAATCAAACATATAATCAGGAATGGAATCCTTATAATAGAATAATCACTCTTATTATATCTCCAACAAAAGTATTAATCTCAATCCATAAATCTGTAGCTCTAGCTACTTATTAAAATCTAATAGTTAATTAGTTAAAACTAAATGAGGTTCTAATAACCATTATTGATAGCAAAACCTTACTAATACTAGCTATACTCTAATAAGCCTAATCTTTAAGGGACCACATTAGAGTACTTGTCTTTCTTCTCATTATAAGTGTTATTGTCAAAATCAGGGTCGTTCTCATCCTCCGAGTCTTCCATAATTATAACCTTGTAAAGCGGATTTGGATTCCTAGTAGTTCTCTTTCCAGCATTTGGATCCGCAGGTTCTTTTATCATCCATTCAAGGTCATCTTCATCGTCCGAGAAGATAAGAGTCATCTCATGAAAAATTCTCTTGTAAGTTTTGATTTTATTCTTTTTGTTCTTTGCCGTTTTAAACTCATGCAAGTCCTGATAACCTTCCTCCGATTTGTCTAGTTTCGGAGTTAGAATCCTTTCCATAGTTTCTAGAGTATCTTCACTGTTAGTGTCCCTCTCCTCCTTAGACATGATTACTGCGTCACTTATCTCTTCTCTACGTCATCCCAATGCAACGAGCATTTGAAAAGCATAACGCAAACACATCATGAAAGAAATTTAATTAGAGCACCATCACACAATTTATTAACTAAGCAACTTGCAAAATAATTAAATAAATGCAAAGTAATCAATATGCATGCATGCCCTTTCTAATTTTACCCAAATCTCACCAAATAAATAATTCAAGTTTCAAAATTACTTTATAAACATTTAAAACAATTGGTTCGAACACAATTAAATTTAAAATCATTTTTGACTTTTAAATACAAAATCCTTAGTCAATTAGTTAGGCGCTTAAGACATACTAATTGGCTTTAGTGGTAATTAAATCTAACCTAAGCTCCCAGATACCACTTTGTAACACCCCAATAATTCTCTCTAAAAGAAAACCTGTAAAAACCTGTAATAACCTGTAAGAGAATTATTGGAGTGCTACCGTCACGTGTTCAAACGTTAAGGCTAGTTTCAGAAATCAGCAGCGGAAGACTAACTTAGTTTTTAAAGGAAAAGGATATGAGTTTTGAAACTAAAAACCAAAATCAGGCTTTAGACTTACAAGTTGGAACCATAAAGGCTCTTATTCAAAATCCAAAAAAAATAGGAAGTAAGTAAAATTATAGTCAAAATAAACTCAGTCTATGAAGTGAAATAAGCTAAGTAATTAACCAACGCTCCACTCAAATCCCATCACCCTGATGTAATTTCAGTTTATGCAAAAACCTGTGATGAACTGCTCCCCAATATTACAAGTGTAAGGATTGGATCATTACAGGGTCAGTGAAGGCGAAGGCCATGACCAAAGAAAACACACAAAAGCACGCAATCAGCAACGCTGAGTACATACAAGCTACGAAGTATAGTAAAGAGCCTTAGCATGATACTAACAAGCATTCAATACACACACAATATAATCATTGACTTGAACACATGACTCAATTGTCGATCATTACTAAGTCTTCACTAAATAGCATTGATCATTTCATTAATTTGATTGGATTAAGCAATAGACCAGGTTATCCCCCTGTGCTCCATTATGGAACATTAAATAAGAAAACCCTATGCCTCCTTTCGGAAGACATTAATAAACATCCAATGGCAGACGGGCGCGACTCCGTGGCCATAGCTAGTATGAGATCTCATCTAACTCATTATAATTTTAAAAGAATTTAAAACAAGAGACTCGTAGATCAGACGGCCTCTGAAAAGTACACGGCTTATACCCCGTGAACCCCAACCCCTATTTGTCATTACTCTAGATGTGCACAAATCCAGAGTTTTATTGCTCATCCTTCTTGCACTTTACGTGATTTACCAGTTTAAATTTGGTGATGACTCATATGCAAACAACGCAACCAATCATACATCAAACATTCAAATCATGCAAGTTTCCAATTTAATTCTTACTTTATTAGTGACAAGTAACATTTATTATTGAATCCTTTAACTACCTCGGTGTATAAACACCTTAAATGCATAAGACAACTCATATCCACAATCTTGTCTTATAAGACTTTAACTCTTCCTTTACTCATTCCATTTCAATACAAATGAATAAGTAATTAAAATAATTCATTCCATATGTATACTTGTAGCTTTACTTCTAAGCTCTCCTTGCAAAGTATTGCATAAATAATGCTCATAAGGAAAAATCAATGCAAATTTCTCATACATGAATTAAAGCAATCATCACATTTATCATCAATCAACTCATTACCAAACAATGTCAACCAATCACAAGTTCGTAGCATGATTCTAGGTTTTTCCAAGTCCCTAAGCATGCTCCTAAATCAAGGTTCCTCGTATTCTTGTACGTACCTTGAGTACACAAATTGGTTGGCCACCTTAAGGCTAGAAGTCACCTTCTACGAATTCCTCTCATAGAGAAAACGACAATAGCTCAATTAATACCCAAGCAACATATTTTACAGCAATACCAAACTATTTTAAAATCCTTTAAATCATTGAAATAATGCTCTTAAATTCTTCCCAATAGCCAAAGTTAATAATTTAGTACTTGAACTATGAGTTTATATGCTAAAATCATAAAAGTATAGCTTATAGCATAAAATTTCAGCACTTTAAAGTAAAATTATAAATCTGAAAATTTAGTTTAAAATTATAAAACAACCGCATAAACATTTTCATTTGAAATAATCGTTATATAGCACGTTAGTATGTTGAGAACTTGAAAATCCATCATAAAACCATGATTTAAAGCTATTTAGAGTTAAGGTTAAAATCTGAAATTTCAGTTTAGTAGCAAAATATAGGGATACATATATCTAAACTTGAAATATATGATTAAAATTCAATTATATTCATAAATACCCAATTAAACTTTCAAATTTCATAACTTAAACCCTAATATATATATAATTTGAAATCTGAAATTTAGTTTATAATCAAGGTAATTGAATTTAAACATAATTTTATACATACTATGATTAAATAACTTAATCTTCCCGCTTTGAACCCAAAAATTCAGCTTTCTAAAAAAAATCTGAAAATTATTATACTCATCAAAAATTAAGGTTAGGATCGTATTTAAACACACAGTAAGTAGTTAAATCGATTATTCATGGTTTAAGCCCAAAGATTACGAAGAATCACGATTTCAAACCCTAAACATACATAATTCAAAATCTAAGATTTCATTTTTAATCTAGATATTTGAGTTTAAACATACTTTGCACATATTATACTTGGATAATTCAATCTTCACGGTCACAAATCATGAAAATTCAACATTTAAAACCCCCAATTCTCGCCTAAATAAAATCTGGAATTTAATTCCGTAATTCAAGTAAAGTATATTTCATAAATTTACAATCTTTATAAATCATAAGCATAATTAAACCATAATAATTATTAAACATTGAGAAATTCGTATAAAAATTAATGCTTTGAAGGAATTTAAACAAGAAAAGAAAAGATGGAAAGAAAGGGGAATGAAGGGAACTGACTGGTGGTTCGGGCAGCAGCGAAGGGTCCCGACGGTGTTGCGGTGGTGGGCTTCGGCTGAGGTGGTACGGGCTGCAGCGAGGGTCGCCGGTGGTGCGCTCCGGCTGAGGCAGCGATAACGAGGGTTCTTGTTTTTTTTTTTTTTGTTTTTTTTTTTGTCTGAGTATTGTGAGTGAAAAGAGGAGGCAAGGGAAAGTAGTAGGAGTTTATAGGAGGGTTTTGGGGAAGAAGTTTACATAATTAAGAATAAGGGTATGGGCTCTTTTCCCCCTTTTTTTTGTTAGAATGGTAGTCATGGCCCAAAGTAAGTAACTCGTTTTTATTTTGTGAAATCTTTCCAAAATATTTTTATATAAATATAAAAATATAAAATTATTAAAAATATTTGTATACGTAAAAATATATAATTATTATTTACTAAGAAAAATATAGGGGATTACACTAGGATTATGTCCAAAAGAACCACAGCTGCCACACTTGACTGTCCTTGATCTTTTAATAGGCTGATCCTCCCCTTCTTCCGTTTTTTTGTTCCTACTTGGCCTACCAATATCTCTTTTCATTTTTGGAGGTTCAATGTGAGGGAAAGCATCCATGCTTGGCCACTGATTCATATCAGGCACTAGATGTATGCAGTGGCTATATAATTGCTTGTATGTTTTCACAGAATACCAAGAGCTGATGTAATTGTAGGGATCAACCTTTGCATGGACCATTGCCTTAATGGCATGCCTGCAAGGTATGCCAGATAGTTGCGAAGCACCACAAGAGCATATCCTGCTATTCAAGCTTAATGGGAACTGAGATTTTCCCTCATGTATCTCATACTCCCCTGGAGTAGACTTATATGCTTTGCAAGTGGTGGTTGCCTTGCTGATGTCCTTAACCTTATTTGCTATCTTAGGACAAACATCATCATCATTCCATGACTTTGAGTTCTCATGCTTAGGTGACAACCTCACCATACAAACCCTTCTAATTCCTATCACAAGAACAATATCAATTCAGCAAAACATAGCTTATGTAACTATAGGTAAAAATGAATCAAAGTCTTGAAAATATACCCTCCAGTAGATTTAGGACAGGTCTGCACCTGTCAACCCCAAGGGTTGAGTTAAAACTCTCCACAAAGTTTGATGTGTTTGAGTCATTACAAACATTTAGATCAAACTTGTATTTGCTCCATCTGGACTGATCACCAATGTCTGCAAACCACTTCATCACCACTTCACCTCCCTCCTTTTGAAGCTTCTCCATTGCTTTTCTAAAACTGAATGCACAGGTTGCATTGCAAGCCCTCCAGAATAAGATATACATCAATGGACTTGGGAAAAGCTTTTTGAAATTTATGCTAAGGTTTCTGCAACAATACCTTCTCCTAGCTGCAGGCCAAACTTGCTTCAAAGCTATGTCAACACCCTGCAAGAACAAGTTCAAATCAGTTAGTCCCACTCTAAGTATGAATGCAATTGTATGATGGAAAGCAAAAGTATGAGGTACCTTTTGTCTATAAGATATTATAGTCCAATTTGTCCTGTCTGAGTGTTTAACAAGGTTGTACAAATGCCAAAAGAAGTATGACCAGCTTTCCTTGTCTTCAGCACTCACTATTGAATATGCCACTGGGAAAATTTCATTGTTTCCATCAATTGCAATGGCAGACAATAAGATACCCCCATAGTTTCCTTTTAAATGTGCCCCATCAACACCAATTAATGGCCTGCAACTACTTAGGAGCCCCTTCCATTGCCCAGCAAAAGATATGAAGATGCTGCTAAACAAGTTCACCCTTGGGATGCTCTCACTCTCATGCCATGCTACAAATGCTGATGATTTTGGGTTAGTACTTGTAATCACCTCTACATATGTAGGTAAGTGAGTGTAAGACTCATCATGCCCTCCAAACAGGACATCTCTCACATACCTCTTCAATCTGTACAGAGAAGCTTGCTTCATGTATATGCCATACCTTTGAAACAGTAGCTCATTCAAAGGTTTCCCAGGGATATCAGGATTATCCCTAATATCCTCCATCACTTTGTATTCAGCCCATTTGACAGTGCACATTGGGTTGTATGTCTCCAAACCCCTACATGTGTGCACATCAGACCATATTTTCTTCACAGCCCATGTCCTGCCATCTGGCAGCTTGCTTGCATGTAATCTCCAGTCACAACATTTAGCATAGCAAGTGACTGTGTACCTCCTATTTTCTGCATACACCACATTCAAAGCAAACCCCTCCTGGACAACATAGTCCTTCAAGGTTTCCCTCAAATGACCCTTATCAATGAAAAGCATCCAAGGTTTCAGTTGGAATTTCCCAGTCTTTCTCTTCATACATTTCTCCATTTTTGTACAACTTGTTCAATTAGCTGACATCATCATCAGAATCAATAAAGCCATCCCATTTTTCAGGCTCCCAATTTTCTTCTACATGTGGACTCCACTAATTTCTTCCATTTCATCAGCTTGAATGTCATTAGATATGATGACTTCATTGTCAGAATCATCATTTTCAGAACCCCCACTTGCATCATCAGAACCCCCACTTGCATCATTAGAACCCCCACTTGCATCATTAGAACCCACACTTGCATGATCAACACCCTCACTTGCATCATCAGAACCCTCACTTACATTATCAAAATTCACCATTCTCCTCACAACACTAACTTTTTAGACTTTTTATTTTTATTTTTTTGTTCAGATTTTGCCCACAAACCCTTCCTAATAGCTGTGGTTTTAGGCATTTTCCTATCAAATAAGGTGGTTTCAGGTAAAGAGATGTTGGGGTTAGATAGTGGAACTGTAAATCTAGGACTCCTCCTCACAGTAAAAGTTTTAAAGATGGTGTGTGGTGATTCTGGAGATGGGGGAATTCTTTGACCAAGAGCATTACTTAGTTCTAAGACCTTTCCCTTACCCTTTGCTGCAGTAGAAGTCTCACCCTTCCCCCTACCCTTTCCCTTACCCTTAGGTGCAGCAGAATTCTCACCCTTCCCCCTACCCTTGCCCTTACCCTTACCCTTAGATGCAGCACTTTTTTCACAAGCCTTCTCAAATGCCTTCCTACCCTTAGTGTATTCCTTACTAGACATGTTAACACCAATACCCTCAAGCTCCTCTTGCATATCAGCAGCAGTAATAGTTGGATCATAATTAAACTCCTTAGGGAACATATCATCTAATGAGGGGTCAACATTGATATCATTTAATGAGGGTATGTCAGTATCCTTAGCAGTAGTAGCAATATCATCATTGGTAGACTGGTATTTCAATCTCAATCTCCTCCTAGGTTTGAGTTTGGTCATTGGAGCATTTGAAGGTTGGGCAGAAGAGGGGTTCTTTTCAAGACCAACACTAGGTGATGCACCATCATCTGTAGGCTAGTGAGGAGGTGTTGGTGGTGCTTGATTTACAGGAGGTGTTGGTGGTTGTTGGTTCAGAGGTGGTTCATTTAGAGGTGGTGGTTGAGCCTGATTAGCTTCATTTAGAGGTGGTGGTTGAGCCTGGTTAGCTTCATTTACAGGTGGTGGTTGAGCCTGGTTAGCTTGTTTAGTAGAAAATTGTTTCCCCTTCCACTCAGACACTAGATCATTCATGAAAGTGGAATCCTTAGCAGTGTCAACCAAAATTTCATACAAGTTAGCATCAGGGAATGTTCTAAACATCCTAATCAGACCACCATCATCATCAATAGGCCAATGCTTGCCTCTATATGCATAAGCAAAGATAGGCTTCAATATAATTATTCCCTTTTTCTGTAACCTATCTTCAAATTCAATCATTAAATCCATGAGATTGCACAGATCAGGATCCACTTTAATATCAACATTATGAACCTTATATTTAAATCTTATCAAAACCTTGTCACTCATTCTGTAAAATTAGGGAAAAATACCACAATTCAATCCCATCATCAATGAATGGAAATCATTTAAACATGGCATGCAACAATACATAACACATAATTTGACCTAGGGTTACCTATCACTAACAAACTTAGAAATATCAACTCAAACACACCCAAATCGAATTATTTGTGCAACAAACACAAAATTAAGCAAAAAATCATAATCAGAGGCATATCATGCATAATTCAAACCATAATCGAGTAACAATTGTACATGAAAATCAAACTTCAATCATTTACACAAATATTCATCTAATACCAAAAACCAAACTATTTTATGCGAAAATCACAATTTTGAAGGCTCAGATCAACACTAACCTTTAACGATCAACAATGTAGTACAGAAGTTCCAGGAAATTTTGCTCCAAACGCGCTTGAATTAAGGTTCCTCACAACAGCAAAACCAGGGGAGAGAGTGAGAAGGAAGAAAAAGATGAACGATCTTCTATTTAGGGTGATTTTAATTTAGGTAGTTGGAGTTTGGAGGGAGAGAGTTAATGTCTGTGGGGTAGGGGGGCAATTTAGGCATTTCATTGTAATTAAAAACCAAAATCTAACGTTTTTTTAACGGAATATGGACGGTAGGTGTACAGCTGATAATGGTACGATACCTTGGGTGTACCGCTGATATACAATAGTTAAGTAGGTGTATCATTGATAAAGTCTCAAACCTTGGGTAACTATTGATAATTTCCCAAAAAAAAAATTTTAAAAAGAGAAGGGGAGTTTTGGAGGAAAAAAACAGCACCAGGATGTGACATGTATCACTCCCGGTGTCTATTTTAGTATTGAGTAATTATTATTATTATTATTATTATTATTATTGATTATTGATTATCTGTGAATTTTCTAAACATCCTAAAATAGTAAGTACGTCGGCACGTCGTGTTCAACTATACATCCTTGTTCATCAACTAATAACTATACGAGTGGACCAGAACATTACCTTATTATTTCATCTTACCCCTCTTTTCTCCACTACCAACCTTTCAATTCAATAAAACTATCCAGCTTTAACATAGCATAGAATAGAAGCGATGGAAGTAGCTGGACCACCCCACCAAGCACTGTACTTTGTGTTAGCCTATCTTCCATTACAGCAACTCTTGCAAATGAGCCAAGTTTGCAAGTCAATTAGAGATTCTATCAGAGATGATGTTTTAGTATGGTTGGATTTGGTGGTGGAAAAGCCGTTAAGTAGACGTCTTACTGATCGAATTTTGATAAATATTACCTCAAAAGCTCATGGTAGGCTTCGAACTTTGGCTTTGCTAAATTGTTTTAAGATTACGGATGATGGATTATTGAAGGTTGTTATCGCAAATCCACTTCTTACTAAGGTAACTTTTATCACCTTTATCGTTTTTATTTTTTATTTTTTTAAATTTTTTTCATTTAACAAGTACGAGGCATTCATTTGATGAAGAGAAAGAAAATGACGTAGACGTGATTTGATTTCAGGTAATAGGGGGTTTCGGGTTTGTTTAGAGAATTTGATCAATTAGTGAGTATTAAGATGTTTTATTTATATAAGACAAGATTAGCTACAATTACTTGTTAAAAATGCAATACAGCTTGTATTCTTGCAATGTTCTTAATATGAACATCTCAATTGATAATGTGATAAACCATCTCTTTCTAGAGGTTTCGTTTGAGAAATTATGTAAACCATATGAATTTAATCATTTTAATGTTTAGACTAATAATAAATCCCACAGTATAAATCATAATTTGTTATATATTTCAGCTCTATGTACCTGCTTGTACTGGATTAACTCCTGAAGGAGTACTCAGAGCAGTAGAAACTTTAGCTGCGAAATCAACCAACTCCATTAGAATAAAGATCAATGGGATTTACAACATCAAGAAAGAACACCTTCTGATACTGCAGTCCTGTATCACTAAAACTACAGAAAGCAAGCCTAGGTTCTATCACAAGTACTGGAATTCCTCTTTTCGTAGCATAGACGAGGATGCCAGAATGATGGATGTAGAGGTATGTCCTAAATGCGGAGAGATCAAGTTAGTCTTCCATTGCCCTAAGGAGACTGAATGCATTGGCTGCATCCAGTGCATACCGAGGTGTGATGTTTGTGGCAGGTGCGTTTCTGACGAAGATGAGGATAATCAAGGAGAAACTATATGCAATGACATTGTTTGTTTAGACTGTTGGCTTCGCCTACCAAAATGTAATCACTGTAACAAGCCATTTTGCTCTCGACATGCTGGTGAGCAACTTGATCCTCTTGGCTCACAAGGATTTGTATGTGAGGATTGTCAGGCGAAGTCACTCACACAACATGGGCAAGAATAATGCTTTGTATAATCCAAAGATGTACAGAAAACAAATGCAGGTTTTTCCTTTGTCCTACTTACTCTTTAGCATTACTACTATGTAGGACGGTAGTTATTTGCAGAGAAATTTAGACTTTACATTAATATACATAGATGATAGATGCTGCTAAAACATGTAGTAGAAGTACTGTTTTTGTCCGACAAAACACATCAGTTTTTTAAGCTATGATAATGTATTTCCATTCAAAATCTTTCAGATTTTGGTTTTATCTCAATAGCACTTGTGATACAATATAATTATTACAAGTCTTGACTAGCTAAACCCATCTATAATTTGTTATTGCTAGTAGCCTTTTGATTAAGTGTTATGTGGTTTAAAATCAAAATTTATGCAATTAGACTTCTTGGATTTCTTTTGACAGTCCTGTTTAATTAATTTATGCTACATAATTGATGAGCTTTGCAATCATTGTCTGGTTAAACAGGCTGCGCTGCTCATCTTGACCAAGCTAAGTGAGTACATACTTTCCATTGCTTATTTAAAATTGCCATTTAAGTTATCAAAATTTAAGCATTGACACCGTGTGTTTGGACTGCTGGCTTCGCCTTCTAAAATTTATGCAGTATAGATGACTGCTAGTAGATGATAACTAACACAAGTAGAGTTGTAAAACTTTGAAATTAATGGCATTTGTTTAGTTCCACTGACACTTCAACTCCATGGATTAAACTTCTGGTTCTCATTTTCTGCTTTCATTTTCAATGAACAAATTGCTTAGCCTAATGTAGGATTTTCGACAAGTTATCCCCTTATGCAAACTCCAAGATAGAGTTATTTATAGGAAATTCATAAATCTTTTTCTTGGCTTGAATACAGAAGAAAAAAAGCTTTTATTTCAAAGAAAGTACATTGGTGCTGCTCAGATTTGCTCCTAATGCAGATCCCAGAACTGCTCAAGCTTCATTTGTGGGGTAGAATATTCTCCTGACAGTATCTTTGTTGCTACAATGCGATTAGCTGCTTCAGTATAATGAACTCCATCCCATATTATCGACTGTGACACATTCTTGCAGATGGTAGAGCCCGGCTGTCCACACGTTGCATTTCTGTCATAGTTATTTGGAAGCTTACGCCCACAGCAAGCAGTAAATGGTTTTTTGAATCCTAAGACAATGCACCGAATCATTAACTAATGACAGTGAAAGAGCAAGATTTTTATCTATTAGGTTGGTTACAACAAATATGGGATGATATTTGTTAATTAAAACAGCCAAGATTAAGAATAAGCTCTGAATGCTATTACCATATTCTTCAGGGTTGGCAGATAGGCTGTACTTGATAGAATATACATCGACATAGACGATAACAGCATCCTTGTACACTGATCTTAGATCTTCACAGAGCAGACGAAGCCCCTCGTTGAAGGCTGTTGCTGCTTGGTTAATAACACGAAAGCATCCAATATCATCAAGGTCATCGTCAGTATGAGGATGCAGGGCAAGTTCTTTTGGCTGACAGCCTAAGGGCCCCGTGTTTTGGATCCAAAATTTTCGTCCACCATATTGGTAGATTGTCTGCAAGTTATAATCATTCACCTCAGAGTGAGCTTGAAAACTGTCCAAAAACAAAACCTAAGCTTCACCTTATTTCAAATTCATTACTAAATTTGATTCCAAAAACAATATATTCTTATTTATTACAAGATTTATTTCATGGTTTTCTTTTATTATAATCAAACCATACCAGACTAGACTACGTTCAATCAAACTAGATCTTAATCAAGTCATGTTAGATCACCTTATTTCTGATGAAGAGAGCACATAATGCACAAGTTAACAACTTACATCGACAGCCAATCTAATTTCTTCGAGAAAGGACAGGATCTTCTGAGCAACTGGTTCAAAGGTTATGTTTGACGCGTATAGGGCCAGTAGGATATCGTTTTGTCCAACATCGATCATATAAAGTGCTCTACGGAACCCCTTCTCATTGATCAAGTCCCTTGCTCCTGCATGAAATATATATCAGTTTTAGAGCTTAGGAAACTTTCATGTAACATATACTGATATACTTGTTATGTAACATAATGAGCATAACTAAGAAATGTAAGGGGCATATCTACCGTGTGATATAAGCTCCAATGACCGATTTTTGTAGTGAATAAACTGGCGAACTTGGACACTCAAGGTAAAAGGAACATACTTCGGCAGCAGGGTTGCACCTGCAACGGCGAAGTTGACTCCACTGGTGAAATTTGGCTTAAGTGACTCCAAGTACGGGGTTAGATAACCCAAGTTAAGGTGTTCACCTGCGAGAACATATTGTTACATCACTTCATATAAATTTTTGAAACTAGAAATTGAATGGCAAAAACTTGTGCACAACGAGTGTACGTGTACTAATATAATGTATGGTATATAACACATACTTACATAAGAAGTCAATAATGAGACGACCATCACCAAATCGACCTGTGCCCCTGTGGAAGAATGTAATTCCATGGGGCAGGCCAATGGGAAGTCCAGCACCAGCTAGCACGCCGCCGGTATCTGAATTAGCGTCTCCCAAATTAATAAGAAGAGGCCTTTCTTGACTTCCTGCTACATTTACAACATTTGAGAGTGTTAGTACAATAATTAGCATGATCATGTAACACCTTATTACACTCATCTTAATATCCATCTTCTTGTATATGGTTAGTATCATTATGCTAACCATAATCTCACCTTTTTATTTCGTTTCTTGGTGATTTATTTGATAATTTTAAATTGCATTAATTTGGCTAGTTGATAATTTAAAATTAACCTTCTTATGTACCATGTGTTATTCAAAATTATATTGTGTTTTGATAACTTAATTATAGCTTAAAATTAGCACATTGACGTTAACATTGTAATATGAACTCATATTAAAATTTATTAACAAAACAAGACAAATCAAGTGTCTGGCAATGATAAAAAGATACCGTCAACTCTAGAAGTCTACTATGAATACTAATATACATAGTGCATTACGTCTAAACAATCACATGCATACATAGAATTGAAGGTGACATCCTTTATTTAAAAAAACTCCGGACATCAACCTTAAAATAGTACGGATTATAATCACAATAAGGCTCTATTCACTTCACCTAAAAATTGTAATATTCAATAAAAATGATTTCAGTTTAGTAAAAATAAGTTATGTTCAGTTAGTAACTTTAAAGAAGAGATACAATAGAGAATTAGTAAATATAATTTCAATTCAGCAAAAGTAATTTTAGTTTAACAAAAATAAATAGGATGTTAGTTAGATTAATTGGTTTTTACAAAAAAAGGGGACAGTGGTACCCAAATACAAATACATCATTTACCTTTAGTAACGCTCTACACAATTACACAACATTTTGAAAATAAAAATTGCTAGATATCCAATAACATGTCTACATGATCTGACTATGATTTATCCACAAAGTATATATATAAATCTTAAAAAGTACCACTTGCGTTACTTTGGCACTATTATATGCTTACAATAACCATACTTTTTATTATTTTATATAAAAAATATATATGTGCTCGTCAAAGTGGGCGATTATCATGAAATGAAGGGAGTAGTTAAATAGCGGTTAATTACTGTCAAAAGTTAAAGGTATTGAGATTAGAGAGTAAAGCCTAAATCTTTTATGACTTTTCTTTTCTCAAAAGTTGCATGAGCAGGGTCTTATTAATTGTCCCATTTAAATGTGTCAAAAACTGACCCGGCCGATCCACTTCTATCAAAACTAAAAAAACCCGATTCATATCGACCTATTTGAACGCAATAATTTAGTATGACTTAATTTTGAAATACAATGCAACCGAGTCAACTCGATCTCACCTAGCTCACCAAACCCCACCGAGGTACCCTAATTTACACCTCTAGTGCCCCCATCACGGCCAATGCTTACGACCTTCCGTGTTGAAGTTGTTAAAGCATTACTTTCACAGCCTTTTTTATCTTGTCCACTTGTTAGTGAAAAACTAAAAATGACCATTAAAAGTCAAAAATATACTCCACTTGTATCACAAATCATTTTATTATTATTGCCATACTTACGTTAATGATGCTTTATAACAAGAATCAACTACAAAGGACCTTTAGAAAAGATCAAAAGCAAACAGGAGCATGAAAATAAAATCACTGGAGTTAGAGATGAAAGAAGCAGCATGTTCAGGTGATGTAAAATTCCTCAAAAAACTAGCCTCATTAGCTAATAAAAACATACCACTACTAGAAAACAGGCAATTTTCGACGGAATTTTTTTGTCGGAAACACCCCGTTTTTGGTCGGAAAACCCATTTTCGACGGAAATTTCGTCGACAGCGGTTGTCGGAAGAGGTTTTGTAGGAAAAATGACCTTTTTAGACAGAAATTCCGACGGAATTTTTCTATCGGAAGACATTTTCCGGCTTGGAAAAGTCTGTCGAAAATTTTCGATGGATATTTTTCCGCCGGAAAATTCTAACGGAAATTCCATCGGAAAATCCTATTAAAAAAAAACTGCACCACCACCACAGCCCACACCACCAGCTCCCACCCTATAACCACCGGCCCACCCAACCAGACCACTCTGTACACCGACCCCAACCACACCACCATCGATACCAACCACACCAACCCCTATCCCACCTTCACACACCACCACCGACACCACCAAAAATTAACCCCACCTTCACACACCACCGAAAATTAACCCCAACTTCACAAACCACCACCGACACCAACCACACCAGCCCCTATCCAACCTTCACACACCACCACCGACACCACCAAAAATTGACCCCACCTTCACACACCACCGAAAATTAACCCCAACTTCACAAACCACCATCGACACCAACCACACCAGCCCCTATCCCACCTTCACACACCACCATCGACACCACCACACCAAAAATTAACCCCAAAAAAAACGAAACTTAGCAAAAAAAAAAAAAAAAAAAAAAACGCAAAAGATCGAAAATTAACCCCAAAAAAAAAAAATTAGCCCAAAAATACGAAAATTAAGACAACAAAATCGAAAAATACCACACAAAAAAAAAAACCAGTAGATCTACATATTTAATAAGAATTTCATAAAAAAATTAAAAAAAGGATAATTAAACAACAAAAATTAAAGGAAATATACAAATATACAATTATCTAATAAAATTTATAAATTAACATTACAATTACATAAAAAATTAACTAGATCTACAATCTAACCTAAATTAAAACTAGATCTATAAAACAAAAACCTTGAGAGTGGGTGGCTTGCAATGGTGGTTGGTGGAACCGTTGTTGTTGTGCCTTTGTTGTTGGTGTTGATGTTGGTGGTGGTTGACGTTGTAGCGTCGTTGTTGTTGTTGATGGAAAGGAGGACGGAGAGAGAGAAGAGGAGGACGGAGGAGTTCGAGAAGAAGAGGAAAGAGAAGAGGAGAGGAGAGGAGAGGAGAGAGAAAGAGAAGGAGAAAAGGGAAAGAAGAGACGGAAATGAAGTGGGGGGTGGGCTTGGCTGTATTTAGGGTTTGGTATTTTTTATTAATTTTTTTTAAAATTAAATTCCGACGGATATAAATTCCGTCTGAAATTTAGTGTTCTGACGGAAAATTAATCCGACGGGTTTCCAACGAAATTTTTGAATTCGTCGGAAATATCCGATGGAAAATAAATCTGTCGAAATTACCGATTATTCCGACGGAATTACGTGTCCGTCGAAACCAGTCCGTTGGAATTCGACCTGATTTTTGTAGTGTACCAAAACAATACTTCCTGTATCAATACATGCCAACGGATGGAAGTGTTGCCGCAGGCAATATATTCCACCTCGCAACATGGAATAGTAAGGTCGAATTTTTAGAAGAAGCAAAAGAAATATTACCTAAAGATATCCAACACGCCCTCCTTTACCAAAAAGATCAGAGGAATAATTGGAATCCTCTTCATGTTGCGGCCATGGTAAAGTCGAAAAGTGTTGAACTCATTCGACACATCCTTGACGTGTGCAAACCATGGGTCGGACCACGACAAGCACGATTATTCTATGATAACAGGCCCTGGTTAGCAGTTTCACGGACCTTGAAGACGCCGTTGCACTTGGCTATTGAAAAGAAAAATGAAGAGGGTGCGATGGCAATTTTATTGTTAATGGATGATGATGATGTAGAAGAGGTTTGTAACATGGTTGACATATATGGGAACAACCCACTCTTTCTTGTTGTATAAAATGGGTTAAACGATGTTGCTGAAAAGATATTGATGTCTAATGGCTCTTATAGTCGTCTCAGTGGTAAACATGGTTCCACCCCTCTTCATTTTGCACCTAGATGTTCAGGTTTGTCTTATTATTACTCATTATTTTTGAGAAATAATCACTTACTTCCTTCATTATCTTTAATTAAAGTTACACTTGGACCGTCACATAGTGTTTGGTAGATTAATTGATTAAAGACAAACGAAGGAAGTATGTCATCTTTGACTATGTCAAGTATATTAGAACGGATGAAATATTGTTGTTGTTGCTCTCAACAATTTTTTAAGTTAGTGTTACACTATGACTGGCGTATAATTTTAGACAAATTAATTGGCTTAAGTATAAAAAAAATGTAAGTGGAGTAGTTGGGGTATTAAAAAAATTATAAAAGAAGATATAGAGTGTGGTTAATATTTTTATTGAAAAGTAAGGAATGTGAGAGGGAAAGAAATCACTACCTTTGTAAAGTATATTAGGTTACATCCCGTGCCATGCACGGTGATCTATAGTTATATATAGTTATAAATCACTAATTGATAAATTATATAATCATAAATTAGTGAAGGAATAATAAAATTATGTGATATGTTGATTTGGTATTTGCATTTTATTTTCAGTTGTATGTAGCTTCTAATACACAACTAAAACAGAAGTAGGCAAAAAATCTGAGTAACATTTTTTCTTGTAAAACAGGTCACAAATTATTTTAAGAATATGATATATTTTTTTTTTATTTATAGTTGTCCAATTTTTTGTAAAAAGATTTGTGAAATCCTTTTATTTTAAATATAATAATTACTATATTAATATGGAATATGTATAAAAAAATAATAGTATTCTTGTAAATGATTTATTTCCTTAATTAATAGATTTTTTTAATAAAAAAAAAAAAAACTAAAGACACACTAGGAGATTACACGTATCATTGCTGGTGTGTATATATATATATAGATGATTGATAATTAAACTCTTATGAATAGCGTTGATGCGATTATACACCTAAAATGATTATTTACATATTTACCCTTTTTAAGATATGACTAAACTTTTATTAGTAGTGTTGAGACCCTTAAAATGTTTATTTATAAGATTTTTTGTGAAAAACCACGTAATAAAACTCATATTTTGTGAGAAACTACCTCATAAAAAAAATGCTATAAAAAACTACCTAATAAAAGGTTGTAAAATAGTACATGTGGCAGGATTTCCACCGTTGACCTAATTTTGCGGCTTGACTTACCTCAAAATAGTTGTTTAATAGTACATGTTGTAAAATAGTTAGCTGTTTTTATATTTCACCAGGTGTTGTTACAAAACTGTTGCAAGAGAAGCACTCAAAATTGTTTGACACGGTTGATGAAAAAGGATTCACTGTGCTCCACCAATGGGCAAAAATAGGAGATTTCGGCACAATAGACTGTCATTTCATGTTCAAAATACATACTATGCAGGCTAAAGCTTTCAGGGAATTAATATACAAAGAAAATAAGAATGAGGGTGACAATCCGTTGCACATTGCAGCAAGGTTTAACAAAGATGATAACTATTTTGTGGCACCAATGTTGAATATTCATGACTTTCAATTATTTGATAAATCATGGAAGAAGTCTAATTTTCCTCCTTGGAAATCAAAGAACAAAAGAGCAGATACACCTTTGCACTTGGCTTTATATTCAAAACATGAAAAGATTGCATTGCACTTTTTATACAGAGACTCAACATTATGTCAAATTTGTAACAAAAAGGGTGAAAGCCCCCTCTTTGTTGCTGTTGCTACAGGATGTGCTCAAGTTGTAGAAAGAATTTTGAGAATTTTGGAGGAGCCTGACTTTAGCATTCTAAATCGCAATGATGGACAAACTGTGCTTCATATGTTAAAATTATGTTCAGGTAAAGTTCTTTTATTGCACCATTTTCCTTTTAGGGAAGTCTCACATTAATCACTATTTATATAATGGGCATACTTTCATACACTTTTTGTGTTCAAACACCAAATACCTTATTTTCCTTACTCACATTTGATATTTACCCTTGTTACGTTACTTTTACTCTCTCTAATCTCCTTTGTTTGTATCAAATGGACATTTTTGTTATTATATTCCTTTTTAAAACTTTGTGCCAAGCCCAAATGATTCAATCAAAAAATAGCAGGAAATATTATTAATTATTCTGTACAAGATTGGATACAAAGGAGAAAATCACTACTTATAATTATCTTTAAGTTAGGGTAATTAAATAATACCACATTCACTAACTATTTAACCTTTTTGTCTTGGCGGTTTACGTATTTTAGGGAATTAATTAAGATGCAATTTGATTATTATAACTTAGATAGTGTTCTATAAAAAATTAATTATTGTTTTCTGCTTTTCTCCTTATTAGGATTCTTAATAGCAATTATACATTAAGTTGTAATCTTTGCACACTAATGATAAATTAATTGTGAATAAAAAAAAACTGCAAAGCAATTACTAGCAAGATTCTGTTGGATCATTAACGTGCGTAATAACGAGGGAAAAACTTCCCTTGATGAAGCCAATGACACAAATGTACCATGGCTTGTGGAATTGTAAAGGAACCTATCAGTGATCCAAATAGAACCCTTCAACTGGATTAAAAAGCATGCTTAAGAGGTGATTCAATGGCTGTAATTTCTTTCATTGATAATTGTCAATATGTTCCGAAAGATTTTCGTGTACAAAATGACACTCCTCTGCATAACATCACATTGCAAAGTAACCAAGAATACATGAATTCTTGAAGAATCCATCCATCAGGATTTTAAAGAATACAATTGATTCTCAAGGTGATACGCCTTTGCACCAAGCACTTAAAAGGATGAACCTACAGCTAGCCAAGGCTTTACTCATTGATAGTGAGGTTACGCGACACGTAAAGGACAATCATGGTACAACTTCCATGGATCTTTTTGGCAACCTTTGCAAGAAATATGATTACTGGGTATGTACCTTTTTATGTTTATTCATGTTATGATCACTTTAATTTAGTGCAACTGTACATGTTCATTTAGTTTGGTTAACATAAGTTTACACCACTTTCCTTAGAGTATTAGAAATAGGCAGTTCTTTGATAGAAATCATAATGTGGCATTAAAGTTACTTGTATGTATAAGCTTCCTTAGGTAAATTAAAAGTTACGATGGGAAGTTCTATTTCTAATGATAATGAATTAAAATACGTTTTTAAGGTCTGTAAATATAAGAATTAAAAAATGAATGAATTTTATGCAGATTTTTAGCGCATGATGAGCGACATTATTATTGATGAAACTAATATGTGCATAAAATCTACAGGCGAAGATGTGTAGATCAATCAACGTGTTTCCGAACCTGAAAACAATATACATTCACCCAAAGATGAATATCGATAAAATGAGACACATACTAAGTACGGTTGCAGCAGTAACTCTGCTAGCAACAATCACATAAGCGGTTGGATTTACATTTTCTACGAGCCTAAAACGTGAAGCCGGGGATGTCAGTCTAGTAAAGAAATTTGCATTTTTAGCATTCTTGCTAGCAGACATTTATGGCATGTCTACATCCATATTAGTCTTGTTTTGCTTGATATGGTCCATGATTTCTGCTCCTGATATGATGTATTTTTTGGTCGACCAGAGTTTGTTGTTACTTGTGCAAGCCCTATATAGCACGATGGTGGCATTTATGGCTAGTATCTCCACATTAGTATTGGATGGGATCTTGTGGGCAGTCATAACTACTATCTTCATACACATTTTTATTGGAATTTGGCAAATAGGATGGATTTGCTTGATACACTTGCCACCTTATTTCCTGCACCAGATAAACACAAGAGCGACTGAACTTGGTTGCTTTAAACTGTTGAAGTGGTAAGATACGTTTACACTTTTCAACCCCACTTTAACTTTAATTTGATAATTATGTATTTTAAAATTAAATTGATTAAATTAGGCTCTTTCCTTCTTTTTTCTATGAATTCATATCAATAAATATGGCATTATTTCATTTTTAACATTTTGTATGTTGAACAAATTATACAAAAAAAAAAAACATTGAATTACTTGAAAATCGTAGAGTATCATTATATATTAATTGAAGTGATAATATCTTATTTCAGGAAAAAAAAGCTTTTGCTCTTGATTACGACTATATGCATTGCAATGAACGCTGTAACCCAAGAAACGATGCCTAAAGAAAAGAATCTACCTCATATTCAACCTTTGTTTTGTGTAGACAGAAAAAAAAAAAAAATTCAAAATAGTTTGGGGTAATTAAGCCTGCATTGGAGGAACTATGTTGGGGCATGGTGGGTCACATGGCTCCATCAATTTTTTTTTTCTTTTTTTTTTTAAGTTATAGTTTTATATGAAAAAATGATATTAATAGTCCATTAGATTAATTATTATCATTAAACATATAATTTTATGAAAAAGTGGATTGATTAATCTAATTTAAATGTAATTATCTATTAGTTTGGAAAAATCATATTGTTTAATCTATTTGGTTGCACTTGTATTTCCTCGGTTCCTTATTATTCTTTTCGTCCGAGTGTTTCCCTTTATTTATTTTTTGTTTCCTTTCACAAAAAAAAAGGTACATAATAATTCCAAGTTTATACCTAATTTTGCATAATATCTAATTGAAGAGATTGATTCTTATACACACACTAGATGCTAAGTACACCCAATAACATCTTTCATAATTAACATGATAATTTCAACTAAAAAGCCAGGAAGTAACTTGGTAGGTATAAATCATGTACCAGATTATTAGTGATATAGATTCTAGTCGGTTTAGAAGTTAGAATAGTTACCTTGCACTAAAGTTAGGTGATGACAGTGTTCATTCTGAATTTTGCTGTTTCATTGGCACAATTCTACACACAAGTTGAAATTGCTGGTAACATGAAGTTGTTTGATTTTCAACCAAAGCCTTATAAGTGATAAGTGGGATTCCCCCTATATTTCCTACCATCTTCAGCTTAAACTACCAAAATTGGATTTATTGTTAAAAAAAACTTACAATTTCACGTTAATTGATATGATGCTTTCTTCTACTAATAGCCCAAACAAACACAAAATAAAAATAGATCACTGTAGAGAATGAAGGATAGCTCAAGTGGTTAGAACTTCCTTAGCTTCCCGGTTCTAGGGGATCCTAGGATCGATTATTATCATCCGCCCGTGTAGCTCTCTAACACAAAAAAATAGATCATTGTAGAGGTGTTATGCGAGGGCTAAAAGGGCCTCTCCCTACAATAATTGGTGATCTATAAAATTTTGATTTTTTAAAAGCGGCATGTTTTTAGCTAGGGACCATGGAAACCACAAAATGATTCTGATTTGGATAAGGAAAAAGTCGGTCTATGTAACCATAAGATAGGGTCCCAAAAGCATCGAATTATTTTTGGAAACTTAGGCGTAATTTTAAAAAGTCTGGTTTTATATCAGTTTTTGATTTAGCAATTAAGCCTCTTTGAGTTTATGATCGCTTTAAATTATTCAATTTTTCATGCAGAATAGGTGCGGAGCAAGATTAAGCATCAGTTCCACATAAAAGAGGGGTTAAGAGAGGGATGCTTAATATTACAAGAATCAAATACAAAGAACCTTTAGAAAAGATCAAAAGCAAACAATGTGCATGAAAATAAAATCGAGGATCAGAGATGGTTATCATATGAAATCAGTATGTGAAGTGTGATTTGGGTTGTCAAGAGATTGGACGATTCAAAAATCAAAATAAAATGTTGTTCAAATCTGGTCAGTCATTGTTTGTTTAGACTTGGATTCCTAGTAAACAATTATTTCAAGTGTATATGCTTGTTTAGGCTTTGTATTTTAATTATTAATCATAGTAGTAATTGTGTATCAAATGTGAATCCCAACTTACTTAGCTAAAATCTTAGGAGGTGCTGTCAAAAATTATCATCCACAATAGCACCCTTATCCCATCAAGTCCGCAAGAGTGGTTCAAACAGAATATTTACAAGCTCACAAGTTAAATCTGAGCTACCATAGCGCTAAGTCCCTGCATTCGGGCTTTGTCTCCAGCTACTACATAACTCAGATGTCACTTGCTGCTAAATATAGTGACAAGATATTCTATCATACTAGACTCAAATCTTTTTGTGCAGGTTTGTACATAAAGCATAACAGGATTTGAGAGTCATTTTGTGCAGATTTGTACATAAATCACAGCAAAACTTGCAAATGTTAGTACAAAAGCATCACGTCTATATATGTTAAACTAGTATATCAATTACAACTTGAAAACATATGTCAAGTGGAAATGAAACACAAGAATCAACTTCAAAATGAGAATATATAATAAAACAACACCTTCACCTTTTCCTAAATTGATACAAAACATTTAAACATAAAGTTACAAACTGATCTAACAATAAAGAACAAAATACTACCTGTAATTGCATCCATTCTCTAGTGTCATTTACGTAGTAAACAAGATAAAATATACTGCATCATCTTTCACGGTTCATTCTTCCTAAGTTCTTCTCATTACTTTGGCAATCAGCACGAGAAGAAACATTGTACATACATGTTTTTTGATGAAGTTTTGCAAAGAATGATGGAAAAGTTTCAAAAAAATACTACCTTTTTTAACCAACATTTATTTTCGAAAAACTAACTTTTAAAAATTTTCTGGAAAAAACTTACCTTTTAAAAATTTTCTTTCAATTAAAAAACTACCCAATATTGAAAATTTTAAACTACATTAACTAGAATGTATCCATGCTAATGCATGGGATATATGTATGTTGTTAGGAAAAAAATTAGTATAAGTGGAAGTTACATAAGTAGAAGTTATAGATTTTTTTTTTAAAAGAAAGTTATTTTTTTAAAATTAATTAGGGATGTGGGAGTTATTTGGAAGTTATTTTCTCTGTTTTTTTTTTTAAAAAAAGAAGAAGAATGCATGAGAATTGGGAGTTGAGGTTTGGACTTAGGAGTGTTGTGATGAAGTGTTGCAAAAACGACTCTTAAATTATATAAAAGA